GGCGGCTTTGGATTTGCGAGACTGATAAGTTTGAGTTTGGAGAGTGGAGAGGATGTTTGCCCTGGGAAAGCCCTGATTAGAGGGGATAGACACAGGGTGGAATATAAACACACGACGGGAGAGAGAGAGGGGGGGGGGAGAGAGAGAGAGAGAGAGAGAAAGAGAGAGACATGGACATTGAAACAGATAGATAGATAGATAGATAGAAAGATAGATAGATAGATAGATAGATAGATAGATAGATAGATAGATAGATAGATAGATACAGAGACAGATAGAAAGAAAGAGAGAAGAGAGGGGTAGATCAGATAAGAGATGGAGACAGTGATAGAAAGAAACAGTCAGCAGAGAACTCTAGACGTAAATAAGCAACAAGCTGCCCGTGGTAAATTGGCTTTTGAGGGCAATGAGACTAGCACACAACAATATATTGTGGAAGGAAGTTCTGGATGTCCAAGGAAAGGGCGAGCGCCCGGCAGAAATTATTATTACTGATATAATATTCCTGGGCTCGTTTCAAATTCATCTGTCTCCCTGTGGTATACGTCTGGTGGCCGAGGGTCTTCCTTGTATTGACATTCCTCCCGCAAGAACACCCCCCCACCCCCCACCCCCAGCCGTCTTTTGTTCCGCCGGTCTGGTCGCCTGTCAATAAAATTTCAATCTATCAAAACGCGGCGACCCCCCTGTCTCGGGTTAGGAATTCAAATTGGGAGAAGTCTACAGGGAAGTCCAGTCTATGAGGGGGGCCTCCGTGCAAGGGCTGGGCAACAAGTCGCTTTAGCAAAATCCGGATAGTATTATGTTTGTGCACCTCTTCGGTAAATAATTTTTATGATATGAACCGCTTCGGCAAATGGGTTAGAAGAATCACTTCGACAAACGGGTCAGCATCATTTCAACAAATTGGTGCACCCACTTCGGCAAACGGGTCAGGAAAGAGAGTTAACTGAATTCGGACTATGTTTCATCGATGGTTATCCGGATAGATTATCCGGATTTTGCCCACCTCTACTCCGCGCCATGTCTTTGCACACAGATGTCGGCTCGGCTCAGGGGCAAAGACGTGGACATTTTTCCTAAAACCACCAGGCGACGAGATAGGTTTTTTTCTCTAAAAATTATGCTGACCCCCACACCCTCTCCCTTTCTCCTCTTTCCTATTTATTCGTCCACTCCTTCTCCCTCCTCCTACTCTCTTCCGTGTCCACCCCAAACCGTTCTTTCTTTCTTTCTTTCTTTCTTTCTTTCTTTCTCTCTCTCTCTCTCTCTCTCTCTCTCTCTCTCTCTCTCTCTCTCTCTCTCTTTCTCTCTCTCTCATGCGTTTGCAGCATTTGACGTATTCTCTAAAATGTAAGTAATTTGTCATTATAATGGCATGTAAATCTCTGATTGTATAACTAAAAGTTTTTACTATATATTTTGTATATACGTGAACAATTTGGACTCGCAAATGAAAACCAAGCTGTGACAAGAAATAAAACGAACATTACAAAGTTATGTTTTGCGCGCTCCTATGGCCTTACTCAGTTGCCAGCGCCGTAAAACTTTTACCAAGCAAACAACATTTGGCATATTATATTGCGTGTGATCATTAAAATGTTATATATTTGTTTACGTTATTTGTTTGGTGTTTTCCGAAAGAAGTTTCTATTTTCGTAATTTCTTCTCTATTTGGGGCAAAAGTAAGAGATACTGCAGACATTCTTTTGGGGGTTATGACACGAGAACGGAATGGTTTTCTAGGATTTGTTCCATGTTGTCTTCAAATAATAATAACAGGAAGAAAAATAATGTAATTTGGAAAACGGACGAGCCATAACATGCATTCTTGTTTTGAAGGGGGGCCTTCCTCACTCATCACTGACACCGTTTAGGGTCATTAAAATGTCGTTGTGTACAATTTACAGAGGTAACGAAGTAATGGTTTTATTTCCATAGCTCGGGAAAAGAGGTCTCAAGTTTCTGGGTTGTGATTTCATTCGTTTTGTGTTCAAATTGAAAAGACATTATTTTGAAATAAGTTACAAAGTGTACATTATTATGTAGCTGGAACGTTTGGCGTTTTAAAAAAAAGTTTTTGCGGGTGGTTGAGGGGGGGGGGGGAGCGCCACTGGTAGGTCCTACTTCTTTAATTTCCCTCTGATCTCTCTGTCTGTCTCTCTTTCTTTTTCTTGGCACTAAATGACCATTATTGTGTCGATGTGCCCCTCTTTACACGAACAAAAATTCCAAACATCTTAAAAGTTCTTTCTTAAATGTTCTCATTTTGGCAATGAATGTTTCTGTCCTATCAGAGATGGACGTTAGGTTTGGAGCTTCGGGCTCTTTAATAACCTTGTTGTGTTAATATTTATTCATTTATTCATGTTTTCATTCATTCATTGGTTTATTTAGTTGTTAAATTATTTAGTTTGCTAGTTAGATTTTGTTTCGCTTGCCCGTTTGTTTCGTTATTACTTTAAAATAAAATACCGCTGTTTATTTTTCATTTTTTAAAGGTAAGAATCAAGAACCGCGTACTCTTGGACAGAGTCTCTTCCAATATGATTCCATGGGAAGGGAATAAAGGAAGGAGGTGGGGTACTGAAAAAATACTTTTCTGAAATTTGAAAAGCCATACAAAACAAACAAATTGTGTGATTTTTGTCTCTTTATAATTGAAATAATTTCTTTTCCTTTTTTCCTCAAATTCACCCTCTTGAAAACACAACGACACCTGCATTAACGTTCGCATACTCGTAAATTTACAAACACGCATACGTGCTCGAATACAGGACATTTCAGAATACCATCTGGTATGCTGGGGTAATAACTTTGTAAAGCGCACAGAGCTTGCTGTTGAGCAGGAATTTACGCTTTACAATTGCTATTATTTAACCCCCCCCCCCAAAAAAAAAAGAAAAAAAAAGAAACTGTAGATAAACCAAAAACAAATTTTTAAATGTTTGTGGTTGGCCAGTTTTCTGGTGTGCTTTCCTCCACATTTCCTTTGTTTAAAGTATTACTCTCTAGTAACACTTTTGATCTTTTATATGACTTTTATAATTGATGCTGCTTTGCAAGTGTAAAATTCCCGCTCTAACCCTGTTTGTTCCCCAATAAAATAACAAAAAACCCCCCCCCCCCGAAAAAAAACCAAAAGAAAAAAAAGAAAGAAAACAAACAACAACAATAACACCAAGAAGAAGAAGAAGAAGCAGAACAACAACAACAACAACAACAACAACAACAACAACAACAACAACCAAACAAACACACCAAAAAGCCACACCTGTACATCATAGGTAGCCTACAAGCCCACAATTCAGCTGCAGTTTAACATTTCTACGCTATTCGCAATAAATAACTTCCCTCTATTCCAATTTCCTTACTTCGTGTAGTAAGTCTTCAGTGGAGACCCCGTTCTTTGGCTCTTTTTTTTTTAAGCTGGCGCCACGCCACCACCAAAGTATGTTTAGGTTCTCTCTGTGTGTGTTGGGAGTTTTTGCGGAGCTGGGTGAATGTGTGGACACGAAAGTTAGTAATCTGTGGTCACACTTACTGGGTAATCAATTCTTGCTCATCGATCTTAGCCCTCTTAACTCTTTTCCATCTCACACGTCATCGATCAGTGGTGGTCCCCCGGCGTTGTACTTCCTTGTTGTTTTAACTTAAGGCTTTCTTGTCATAATGACGATCGATAGTGGATTGGTGAATGATGCACATTAAAGTGGCTAGTGTAACTGTGTTTGAAGATGTTTTAAAATATATAACGCTCCGCCCGTTTCTATTTGTTGTTGTTGTTGTTTGTTTGCTCTTATCTGATCAACGAGTTTTTTTCTTCTCTCTCTCTCTCACTCTCTCTCTCTCTCTCTCTCTCTCTCTCTCTCTCTCTCTCTCTCTCTCTCTCTCTCTCTCTCTCTCTCTCTCTCTCTCCCTCTCTCTCTTTCTTTCTATGTCCGCACGTAAATTCCTCTCCCTGTCCACCCCCTTTCTCTTTGCCCCCTCCCTGTGTGTGTGTGTGTGTGTGTGTTTGTGTGTGTGTTTTTGAGAGAGAGAGAGAGAGAGAGAGAGAGAGAGAGTGTGTGTGTGTGTGTGTGTGTGTGTGTGTGTGTGTGTGTGTGTGTGTTAGAGAGAGAGAGAGAGAGAGAGAGCGAGAGAGAGAGAAAGAGATAGAGAGAGAAATTTCGAACAGATTTTGACTCGAGGAACAAATTACGATGGATTAGGTTACGGAGGTTCTTCAGCTAAGCACACACACAGACATACACAACATAGATAATAAATAACTAGCTGTAACAATCAACAATGGAAATAACAGAAACACTGAGTCAGAAGTGAAATGTTCGTTCTGCACGTACAGACTTCATCTATTCCGAGAAGGGGAAGGGGGGCAAAGGTAATTGAACACAGTAGTCTCATCATACAGACTATATACAACTCACAGCACATCAGTCACTATTTGGTCGCTTTTAAGCTCAAGGGGGCTATCCCAGAAAATGCTGTTTTGAGAAAATCGAAGGTACAGTTTTTGCCCCCTGTTCAGTGTCTTTAAAAGACAAGGAGAGTTTTCTCTATCACCGAACAAATATACACACCAGTGAAACCAAACTTCTCCTATAAGTAGGGCAATGCTCACTTTTGGTGCAGGTCGAGATTTCTGGAAACCCCCGAAATCTTGGTTAGCCCGCTTGTCCTTAAAAGCGACCGTTTCAGCCCAGCTCTTCGGCTGTCTCCCACATGCATGAACGACAACGGCAATGCTGAGTGTCTCGACAGGTGCCAACCTAAGACTCATACTCATTATGATACGGTTTCAAAGTACATTGCGTCAGTAGAATTCGAAAAAAAAGGTGGATTATGTGAGTGAAGACACAGGGAGAGGGAGAGAGTAAAGCTGAGAGAGAGAGAGAGAGAGAGAGAGAGAGAGAGAGAGAGGGGGGGGGGGAAGAGAGAGGGAGGGGTGAAGAGAGAGGGAGGGGAGAGAGAAAGAGATAGAGAGAGAGAGAGTTGGAGAGAAAGAGAGAGAGAGAGAGAGAGTTGGAGAGAAAGAGAGAGAGAGAGAGCAAAGTAAAGATATTGAACTACAAGGCGGTCTTTGGCATCGACAGCAGCCTGTAGTCTAAAATGCTGTTCTACTTCCATGAGGAAGAAGTCCAAAGGCAAGCACATAGTGTCAGTTGTAGTTTCTGAAGATATTATAAATTACTTATCTATGAATAAACTGCCAGCGAGACTGGTTTTGAAAGTCCGCTGGACTTTTCCGTTATTGGAGATTCACAGAAGCCAACATGGATCACGTATTCTATGCATAATATTATTTCGTAATAAACACATGCACAGAAACACACGCTTTGGATGAATCATGAAAGGCAAACTTTGTTTCTGACAAAGTTACAAAATCCACAAAGTGCTTCTCACTCTCAGGATATTCACAGCAAAGACACATAGAATCGCAGTGTTTGTTTTATACACAATAATTCCTCCGTGTTCGTAGTCTGGTTTTGTTTTTGCGAAAATTTCCCAGCAGTTCGCGTTCACACACACACACGCACGCACACGCTGTAACAAACATCAGATGAATCACAAGAGGTGGACTTCGATCATACGACAGAGAAGCCGAACACTTCCATGCCGGGCTGGTCACCGTTGGCCCCAGGTGCCAGACCTTGATGGCAGGACTGCAGAGCCATCATAGGCCCCCCTCCCCCACCCCCTCCCCCGGGACTCGACTTTGTCGGCGCGGAGGAGGATGAGGAAGAGGAGACGGAGATGTCTTGGAGGTACTTCCAGCTCAAGTGAGTGCTGATGTCCGCCATGTCGATGCTTTGTTTGACCATGGTCTCCTGGTCGTTCAGCGACTGGGAGGGTGGCCAGTTGTCCCGGTGTGGGGAGTGCTGGTGGTGGTTGTTGCTGTTGTTGGTGGTGGTGGCGTTGTTGGTATTGTTCATGTTACTGCTATGTACAGGGGATGATTTGGAGTTGTTGGAGGTTAATACTAATCCAGCCCGAGAGCTGCCTGGGGATGTTCTGGGAGCACTGTCGGGGTGGTCCATCATCGCGCCAGGGTTTTGGTTCGAGCCCCGAGAGGTGGGGTTTCTGCTGTGCGTAGTTACAAAGTCTGGGTTGTTGTTGTTGTGGAGGAGGGAGGTCGTGGTGGCGATCACGTCCGGTCCATCCAACATGGCGTGCGGGAGATTCTGAGGGTTGAGTGTGATGAGCGGCCGAGCACCGTGAGCCGACGACGAGGAGTCGTCCGAGTTACTGGAGTTGTTACCACCACTACCACTACCATTACCACCGCCGCTCCCGCCGCTCTTGTTGGATCTCGCCGCGCGGTGCGTGGATTTGCCGCCGCTCCTGGCGTTGTTGCTATTGCCGCCGTTGCCGTTGTGGTTGCGCGTACGCCTCAGCGGTTTGAGCAGAGGGTTGCCGTGTTTGCTGAGCTGGCTGTTGTGGTGCGCCGCGCAGTGAGAGCTGCGGAAACCAGAGTCTTCCGAGTCTGTTGTGGAGGACTGCGACGCCTGCGAGTCCGGGCGGTCGTTCGCCGCGGCGGAGGTGGACGCGCTACCAGGCTGCGCGGAGCGGCCGACGTCGGAGACGCCGCTGTCTCTGTAGGAATGTGTGGCCATCTTCGACGGCGACGAGGGCGTTTGTGGGTGCGACATCGCCGCGGGGTCGTGGCCGTAGTGGCGGTCTTGCAGCGGTGGCGGCGGAGGTGGCGGTGCGTTCTGTGAGTGGAAGTTATGTGTGGCTGACGTAGAGGGTATGGGGAGACCACCGCCGGCGGTGTGGTCGTTGGGGAAATGGTACGTCGTAGCTATGCCGTCTCTTCCCGGGCTCAACGTGGATACGTTCTCCTGGATATGACCACCTCCTTGGTTGTAGGAAGGCGCGGCGGAGTTGAGTTCGTGCTGAAGCTGAATGTCGTTTGGATGCATGACGTGATGCACCGACCCCGCCGGCGCTGCGCGTTCTGGGCTTTGTCGCCGCGGCGCGGCGGAAAGATCACGCCGTATTTGCATAGTACTACTACTACTTGCCACCGCTGAGGACGCGCCGGGCGGTGGAGAAGAGTCCTGGTGGAAAGAATTGAGTCTGTCGTCGTAGCCCGCGCGGGGCGGCGGCAGCGGTAGATTTAGGCTGGCGGGGTGTACTGGCGGCGGGTTGTAGTGCTGGGGGCTCTGGGGGTGCGTCATGTTGTCACCGTAGCACACGCCGTGCGTTGGGTGAACGCTGGCCGGCATCAGGTTCTGGTGCAGCATCACCTGTGGTAAATGTTCCTGCTGCTGGTGCTGATGTTGCGGGTGATATTGTTGTTGTGGCGAAAGTTGTTGAAAATGGTTGGGGTCGTAATGCAGCTGCTGTTGCTGCTGTTGTTGTTCTTGAAGATGGTACATGTCTTGCGGCTGCTCCTCGTAGTGCAGCTGTATTTCGTTGCCGAGGTGAAGATGTTGTAGCTGTTGTTGTTGCTGTTGCTGTGGTGAGGGCAGCTGTCCTACAGCCGCGGCTTGTCCACATCCCCGGCACGTGTGGGAGACGCTGAAGCCTGAGATACCGGAGTCAGGGCAGCTCCTGGGGGAGAGAGGGACAATGTGAAATATTATATAAATAGATAAATGCATAGATTGGTGGATTATTTAATGGATAATGGATTAATGGGTTTTTGAGGAAAAGAGTTGTCTTGACATTGAAAACAGTATATGTCCCTTTGACCCTCACATAGCGCGTGCTATTTCTTTCTTTCTATCTCTCTCTGTCTGTCTGTCTGTCTCTTTCCGTCTCTCTAACTATCTCTCTCTCTCTCTCTCTCTCTCTTTTTCTCTCTCTGTCTGTCTATCTGTCTGTCTCTCTCCGTCTCCCTAACTATCTCTCTCTCTTTCTCTCTCTCTCTCTCTCTCTCTCTCTTTTTTTTTTTCTCTCTCTTCCACACACACGCACAGAACAAACCCACACATACCTGTAGGCAAAACCGCCCGGCCTGGGCTCGCCCTCTTGACTGGGCGACAAACCGCCGCACGCCGCTAGCCCCGCGGATATGCCGCTGTCGTGGTACGTGTGGTACAGCGGCCGGCCCCTAGCCTCCTGCTCCGTGCTGGGGCTCCTGCTCACGTCGTACGCCTCGTTGTCCGCGCCGCCCAGCGACAAGATTCCGCCGCCCCCGCCCACGCCCAGCGAAGAACTGCCGCTGCTGCAGTCGTCGATGCGGCAGTAGGCGGGCGGTGGCGGCGGTTCGAGCGACATGCCCAGGCGACGCATCTTTCCGTGAGGGTCATACTTCTTGGTGAGCACCTCCTTACGGGCCCGCTGGAGGAACCTGTGATATGGACGGGATAACAATATTACTATATTGTTTATATTATATTCATTCTTTAATTCTAAAGTGTCTCTCTCTCTCTGTCTCTCTGCCCCCCTCCCCCTTCTTTCTCTGTCTCCTCCCTCTCTCTCTCTCTCTCTCTCTCTCTCTCTCTCTCTCTCTGTGTGTGTGTGTGTGTGTGTGTGTGAGTGTGAATGTGTGTGTATTTGTGTTTTTGCTAGACGTCGTTTGAATTCATCCCCTCTACACCCCCCTTCCTTTTCCCCCTTTCCCGGAAATAATGATGCTTGTTTTTTGTGTTTTTTTAAAGCAAGTATCTCCGCTTGTCGTCTCGCTCGGAAGTTGTATCCCTCTCATCCCCGGTTGTCCCAGACAGACAGGGTAGGGTCTAAATGGTCTAAACAGTGTCGAAGGGGTCGTAAAACTCCCACAATTACAACCACAGGGACCCGTTATCTTCAACGTACACTCCCAAGGACTACGTTT